TTCCAATAACTCTAATAATAGGCAAGCATGAAAATTCTTTACATGAATATCAGCTTGCAAGTGGATAAGCCAATCATGGCACACTCCCTCAAAGTAGCATAGCACTCAGCAATTAAAAATAATAAAAAGAAGAAGAGGAAGAACAAATAACTGATTTACATAGCAGGAGTGAAGCTTAAGATTTGATTCAGACTTGGTGCAGTCAGACACAAAAGACAGCATGTCATGTGATATCATTGTGTGGGATTTCAGAAAGGATACCTGACATCGTGTTAAAGTAGATCAGACCCTGGGATGAGGACTGATAGGAAGCAGACCAAAAGTGCCCTTTTGGTTGTGGTGGTTTGAGTAAGAATGGCCCCTCTAGCTCATCTATAAAACGCCCTATCCAAAGCTGGTGGCACTGTTTTGGAAGGATTAGGAGGCATGGCCCCTGTTGCCTGCCTGCTTGTTGCCATACTCCCAGCCACGAAGACAATGGACTCTAACCCTCTGGAACTGTGAGCCCCCAACTAAATGCTTCCTTTTTATAAGTTGCCTTGATCATGGTGTTTTGTCACAGCAAAACGAAAGACACAAGTTAAGAGAATAATTTAAATATTGATCGTCATTGTATACACACAGATAAATACATACTTAACTGTACATACAATGACCTACTTTTTTGTAAATAAACTGCAAGAAGCTGATTCTTTAAAAACAAAAGTATCCAGCTGGAGATACTCTCAGCAATTAAGAGTGCTTGCTGCTCTTGAAGAGGACCTGCATTCAATTCCCAGAACATACCTCGGATGGCTCACACCCTCCTGTAACTCCAGCGCCAGGGGATCTAGTGACCTCTGGCCTCCACAGACACTTACATACACATGCTCATACAACACACACACACACACACACACACACACACACACACACACACACTTACAAATTCAAATGTAAACCTTTTAAAGAGTAAACTGTCATTTCTGCTTCACTGGGTCACTTCCAGCTGTGTTTAAAACTGCAACACTACCTGCCCCCATGAGAGTGCTGGGTGCAGGCATGGGAAAGGTTTCTAAAATGTTTACCCTTTCATGCTGTTTAATCTTTGGAATTAGGAGGTTACATTAGTTATTTTTAAAATGAAGAGAAAGAATTTTTGAAAACGTGTTCCTGGTAAGTTAAACGAGTAAGACAGTGAGCTGTGGCCTGATTTGTTTCCATGGTAGAACCCTTGATTCTGGAGTCCAGCATTACATTCAGCCTACATTCAACCAGAAGAATTTTTGAAAACGTGTTCCTGGTAAGTTAAAGTAAGACAGTGAGCTGTGGCCTGATTTGTTTCCATGGTAGAACCCTTGATACTGGAGTCCAGCATTACATTCAGCCTACATTCAATCAGACTTCATATGACTAAAGATCTATTTTTGGCATTTCTTCACGTTAGCATTTTTATAGGTATGTCATATGTAAGAATATGTATGTGTGTCTGATTAGCGGATGCTACATCTGTGGTTTCGTCTCCTATGTGTGTTTCCTTAGATCAGACTGGAGATAATCCAAATCCCCACGACCCATTTCATTCCTGGTTTTTCGAGTGCACAACACTAATATTACAGATCATGGTCAGGTGGTCAATGTCAAAACTTCTGAGTCAAATTCAAAATCCTGGAAGCAATTATTAGTACCAGACATTAAATTATGCAAACTGTATATTCACAAGGTTATTTTCCACAGAAATACACCAGAAGCAATGATACATGAAGCACCCCACTGCTGATGCTAAGATTTGGATTTTTCTTTTTTTGTTTGTTTTTGAGACAGGGTGTCATTCTAAAGCCCATTATATTTTAACATACTGACTTTTTCATTTTTCTCATAGAAAACACAAGCTTTAGCATTCCCAAGACACAGAATATTAAGAATCAAATGAGGCCATCTGTAACCAGGAATGATGGCTCACACATTTAGTGTTAGTACTTAGGAAGCTGAGGTAGGAGGACTGTTAGGAGTTGACATCAGTTCGATAACAGAGTAGTAATTCGTTTTGTTTTGTTTTTTTAAAGAAAAGAAGGGAAGAATGAAAATAAAGATCAGATCATTTGAGAGGAAATAAACTGACTTTTTTGTTTGTTTTAAACCATAAAAGCATATTTTGGCTGGGCATTGGTGGTGCACCCCTTTAATCCCAGCACTCAGGAGGCAAAAGCAGGCGGATCTCTGTGAGTTTAAGGCCAGCCGGGTATACAGAGTGAGTTCCAGGACAGGCTCCAAAGCAATACAGAGAAACCCTGTCTCGAAAAACCAAAAAAAGAAAAAAGAAAAAAAAAGCATACTTTAACACCAGAGGAAGAAATAAGGGAGATTTCAAAAAAAGGTTCTGGCATTAATAAGGCAGTCGTAAAGTCCAGTGAATTATAACACAAAAGCAACAAGTGCTTCAGAATTCAAAGTAGGATGGCTGTCTGTCAGAGGAAATGCATGCATGGAATTCAGCTACTGCAAACAGGAAAAACAAAACAAATAAGATTCTAACCAGGTTCAATGTCTGCCCACTATCTGTTTTTCCGTCAGAGTGGTAAATAAAATGGATGGGACACAATACCCATATGGAAAATATCAACTATACAAAAAAATTAGTTCCAACAGTTGTTGTTAAAGAATATGTCATAGGGAGGCTGGAGAGGAGGCTCGGTCAGGAACGTGGCTGCCACACAGCATAAAGACCTAAGTTCAGCTCCCTAGCACTACATAAAAGCCAGGAGTGAAGGCCTATATCTGTAACTCCAGCTCAGATGAGCTAGAGACAGGCAGATCCCTGAGGCTCATTGACCAGTCGTATTGATGAGCTCTAGGTTTAGGGAGAGACCTGGTTGAAAAAAACTAAGGAGAACAATTTAAGAGAGCCTCTGGGCTCTACTACCTAAACACACATAGACATGGACAAGCAACACACATGAACTCCCACACAACCCCTCTCCCCCCCCACACACACAAGAATACATCATAGGAAAAATCTTTGCAACTCATTATATTAATTATGCTAAAATCCATCCTATAAAAAGAGCTTCGGTAAGTCAATAAGATCGATGTCTAAAGTGAAGAAATAGATCAGAGTTGTTAGAGATAAATGGGCACTGCAGAGAAAAGATAATTACAGTGGCCTTGAACACAAGGAAAACATTCAGTCTTAGACAAACACAAATTTAAAACCATATCAAAATACCCTTTCCACCTAGTAGACTTGCAAGATTAAAACGTTTTTTCAAAAATCTCGGCAAAAGTATAGCAGTGCAAGCAGTCACACTCACTGTTGATGGGCAAATAAGCTGGTAGAGTCCCCAATGACAATACAGCGACAGCCATTAATATGACAAAGGCACATGCCCTCTGACTCAACAGTTTCACTGGTGGGAGTCATCCTTTAAAATGTTTTTCATATATACCAAATGTTATTCGGCTACCACACTAAAAATTCAAGCGCTGGGAACTCTGCCTGAGCCTCCTTAAGAGGCTCAATACTTTGAGACCTCTTACAAAGTAATTCTATGCATTGAAAACACTAGGAAAGTGACTAAGAAGGCACCCACCCTTACATGAGGAATTCTTACTATCCTAGCCCACAGTCTGCACAGAACTCAGTGCTTCTGCAGAAAAACAGAGAGCTAGCAGCCCCGGTGGCCTCTGGGAGGAAGCTGAGAAGCTGGGGATGGGCGTGGGAAACAGATTTTCAAAGGCAAGAGATTTTCGAAGTGTTTACAGTTTTGTACCTTCAAACTTTGGAATGTGGTGTCTTTAGATAAATAAAATTTAAAACATGCTGCTTATTGGTAAATACGTGAGACACAGCCCCAGACTTGGTTTTGTGCCCCAGCCTAGCTCAACATAACATAACCTCTTTATTTAAGGGCTCAGGTAACCTTACAACAGGATAGAGAGCTGGGATAAACTCCAGAAACAGCAATAGCTGAGAGACTCAAAGCTAATTAACATCCACCGACAGAGACAAGACACAGCTCGTTTTCAGAGTAAACCAAGACAAGTAAGGATCTAAAGAAAATCCTTCAAGTTGCCCAAGTTAATCTAGGAAAATGACAGGCTATGTCTCTCTTGTGCATTTATTTCCCAACTTTAGGGTTAAGTAATCTATGTCCTGTAAATGTGTATCTGTTAGTGAAACTGCTTATTCTGCACTGCTAGTCATGTTTGTTATGAAGACAATTGGCAAATAAGGCTTTTCTCGGCCCTCGGAGCACTAGTACCAGATGACAGGGCTCACATCCTTCGGGGATGAGCCAGGCACTGCCTGGTGCTTACCTAGGCAGAGCACTTTCTAGTGAGACGAACCTGTTGATTGGGGGCTAGTCAAAGAACATTCCTGCCTAGTCCCTCTGGAATTCGCCTGAGATTACTACTGCCCCCCCCACCCACACACACCCCGCTGTGCAACCGGGAGGCGGGGCGATGTGCCTAATCCACCTGTTTGTTTACCTCCTGCTTTCTCATCTGGGAGCAAAACCGGTAAACCCTACCCTCCAGGGGAAGGAAAAACAAACCATTCACTGCCCCTCTCTGGTGGCCGATGAAGAGCAGCGGTGTTGACACCGTACCTCAGTTGGTCCAGATATGCCTCTATGGGTGCAAAAATCAATTCATGCCCAAGCGTCCACGTACCCCCATGCTTCCAAATACAGGTCAAGACCTGCGAGTTGACAATACCAGGGTCGAAGTTTTCAAGAGCTCTGGGACATCCCTAGACACAGGAACACGTGGGTCATCAGACCATCACCTCCCCTTGGAGGGTGGACATCTGCAGCAAGGGAACAGCCACTCACAGGGAAGTGCGTCTGGAGGAAAGTTGAAGCGCTTGACTACCTGTTTCAGACAGGTGACCAAGCAAGTGGGACGGGGCTATCACTTCCACGGCAGCCTCTAGCTCACCCTGGCCAGGCCACATCCGGCCCCGGGCGCCCCAAGGTCACCTGCCCTCCGGGTCGCCCCCACCCAGCCCCAGAGCTCACCAGAACAGCAGGTTGGCACCCAGGAAGGCGAGCAGGCTGCGCAGCGGCCTCTTCCAACTCAGGAGCTCGTCCGCGCGACATCCCAGCCACAGCACGGGCTCCCCGAGCAGCCAGGTCAGGGCGGCGGCCACCTTGCCCGCGGCCTCCTCCTCCTCCACCACCTGCGGCCCCGCGCCCGCCGGCCCTGCCTCCGGTGCAGCCTCCTCCCCGGGAACCCCGGGCCTCGGCGCCGGTTCCTCCGCAGCCGGGGCTGGGCATCCTTGCGCGGCGTGCTCCCCGGGCGCCGGGCTCGCCATCTTCAGCGGTGCTTTGCTGGCGGGGACGGGCACGGGGGCAGGGACGGGGAGGGACGCGGGCGGGCGGGCACGCGCGCGCCTGGCGGTGAGCGCCCGGAAAGCAGCGGCGACCGGTCGGGGCTCGGGGTGCGCACCGCGGGGAGCCGGCGGCTGGGTGCCTTATGACGTCAGGCCCGGCAGCGCGGGGGAAGAGGGTGCGGTCAAGTTCGCGTAGGGGCGGGGCCGCCCTGGGCCTGGCTGCACATCTGAGCTCCCTTGGCTCGATCGGTGGATGCGAACTGGGCGGGGTCCCTGGGTAGCTGGGGACCAGAGGAAAATTCTCCCTTTCCCCTTCCAGTGAGGAGGCCAGGTAAAGAGGACTCGTTTCAAAGGGAGTCTGGGGGTGGATTTTAAAGGCGGAGAGGAGGAGAGAGTCTCACTTTATCCAGCCACAGCCGCCAGTCTTCCATCCTTCAGTATTGAAGAAAATATCTGGATGCTCCTGGCCATTAATTTCAGCACTCAGGACTCATCACGCCCCTGTCCAGGTCCCTTACAGGGACATCCTACCCAACTGTGTCAGATACAAACGCTGACCTGGGAAAGGAAGAAAAGCACATTTGAGGTCAAGGAAGGGCCTCTGGTTTGGCCCGCTGATTTTAGGAGTGAGGACCAGACAGGCCCCAGTGCACGCGGGTAAAGACTCTTGGTTAAGTGAGCTCTTGGCTTAGCAGTGAGAGTTGCTTTTTGCTGTATCAGGGGGCAGAGAAGCCAGAGGATGGCTGCCCGTGACCCTACTCTGCTACTGTCCCAAGCTTTGGAGGTTGTTGCTTCATTGGCTCTGTTCTCGGTATCACAAAGGGCAGAGTTGGGGAATGTTGCCCCCCACACACACACACACCCGTGTGGGTCTCCTGGTTGAGTGTAGGAGAGAGGAAGGGATGGCTGTGCATGCCGGGTCTCTGTTCGTTCCTCCAGAATAACGTACCCATCCTTCAATCCTAAGAATTGTTGCATCGGGGCACCTGACATGCTCTGGGCCATCTGTATCCATCCAGCCTGCTTTCACCCGATGAATGTAGAGCATTCCCAAAGCAATGGAAGACTGCCTCAAAGGAGCCCCTGGGTTAAAGTTTGTAATGTCCATCTCTATGGCCAGTATAAACCTCTGCCTATGTATGCAAACATCTATACATTACAGGCTAGATGTGGACAGTTACCTGAATGTGTTTTGTAGTAGAAGGGAGCACATGCCTAGGGTTCACACACACAGGTTTTGTTGACCACCTTGGTGCATTGCTAGGCCCTGTGGATGTGGCCTGCAGGAGGCTCACAATCCAAAAGGTACCACTTACAATTGATAAATGCAGTGATGGAAACCCTCAGTGACAAGAGCCCTCGTTTAAACCACATCCAAAGTCAGGTAGGAGGCTTTGGGATGTAGATGGCATCTGCCCTGACTTGTAAGACCCAGAGAGGTACAGTGGGGGTAGCAGAGGGAGCCATGCTTCCCATTGGGAGTTTAGCATGGAAGAAGGCCTGGATGAGTTGCAGGTAGAAATCAGGCGTTGTGTTCTCTAAGGACCTTCAGCTATTTGTCAGTGACAATGTTTTTTGTTTTTGTGTTCTTTGTTTTTGTTTTTTTTAACTGAAGGCAGTTTGCAACTGTCTGGCATTTTCAACTTGCTTTTCTAGGTGATACCTCCAAAAGTAGTGTGGAAACAATTCAATCACACACACACACACACACACACACACACACACACACACACACACACATACACACGACGTAGTGGGGAACCTCCTTGGCCTTGGTGGAGGAACTTTGGGGAGATAAAGATGCTTTGGGGTGTAATTTGGTTTCTGTTTTTAACACTAAATGCAGACCTGCACTGACAATCCAGGGCATTGGGATTCCAGAACCAGTAAGAACCGGTATCCCTGTCGTCCAAACCCAGTGTCAGTAAGCTTTCAGAGACAAGTTTACAAGATTCTTCACATTCCTCCTTCCCCTAAATTCTAATTATTGTCATCAGGATCTGTGGATGCAGTAAAAGCTGCTGGCAATGAAGTCACCAAAAGCTAAGCTCTGACTGCTGTGTGCATTTTGCAGTCTTCATTATCTCCCTTTATGATAAATCTCCCCTGCAGCTCTGCTTCCTGAAGGGTTTTCTCACCCCTCTCAAAATAACTATGGAGAAAAGGCTGCTCAGACGGAGTGTTAAAGACAGGACTGATTGACATCATCCTATCTTCTCTGCCTCTGACCTCTAATAATTACTGAAAACTTGTAGGATGGGAGTCGACATTACTGTAGATACATACAACAGTACAACTGGGTAGTTTTTCATTACCTAATTATCTTTGTGATGCCTGAGTAATTTATTCAGTCCTGAGCATGGGAAACTCATGCTGAGTAGAGGCAATAAGGCTTGTTCCCTACCTGCCACAACTTTGATGTTTAAAAGCACTGTGGTACAGGTTGGTGGTGCAAGGCTTTAATCCTAGCCCAGGTGAGGCAGAGGCAGAAACAGGAGCAGGCGGATGTCTTTGAGTTCAAGGCTAACCTGGTCTGCATATCATGCTCCAGTCCAGTTGAAGCTACACGGGGAGACCCTGACTCGAAATAAATAATTAAAAATAAATCCTGTGCCTTCTTTACTATTTAAGATTCCCTTTTGAATTTGCCCTTGGTGCTTGTTGGGAACAGAGTCACGAATACTAATGAGCTATAAGATTAGACAATACATATCAGAAAAGGGCGAGGAAGCTGGGAAGGTACCCCCCCAAAAAATCAGAGGGAGAAAAAAATTGTAACTACTGGATTGAAAAGGCTGGTACACAGGACACAGGAACTCCTGGAGGCCACTTGTTTATCTCTTCTAAAAGAAGGTAGAAAAGTTCTAACAGAAAAGAAAAAGAATAAATTAACTCCCAGGTATAGTGTCTCACTGGGCAAAAATCAAGCTTAGCCTCAGAAGAGCTGGAAACACACCAGCCAGACTGCTTTTTCCCACTTTCCCATTTGGAATCCTGCCGTGGGTCCACAATTCTCAAGGAAAAGGGGACACTGTGCATGTTGTATGTGCCGTCGCTCCTGCAGACAGAACTTTGGTGGGTTAACATTTTTCAACCATTTCTAGCCCTATCTCATCGGATCCCACCTCACATCCTCCTCTGACCTATTTCCTAGTCGGAATCACAAAGTAATTCTCTTTCCCTGTCAGCTGGGTGACTGTGGTGCTTGTAAAACAAGGCTATCCCAGCCGGAAGCGTCCCTCTGAGCAGTGTTCCCTGAAGGAGGTGCTTCTGGCCAACAAGGGTATGTTGAGTGCTGGTCCCTCACAGAACCTGCTGGAGCACTCAGCTTGAATGTCGTTACTGCTAGCAAAGAGGGATCATATTTTCTTTACTGTCCGAGAAGAGGTCATATCTGCAGATCATATGAGCATAGCAACACAAAGGCTTGCCCAAGTATCTTGAGGTCTTTCTCAGAACCACCGTGCGTGCGTGCGTGCGTGCGTGCATACAGTGACTGTGCCAATTAGGAAAGGCACCCCTAACTCTGAGCAGATTCACCCTCCCCATCAGAGAACACAGCTTAGAAAGCAGAACCCAGGATTAATGTCACCTCAGCTCCTTCTGTAGATGTCCTCGGTCAGTAGAGAAACGGCCCAACTTTCCGTCAGGGGGTCATTTGTCCTTCTACGGTACTAAGAGCTCTTGTCTGGAGACAGGAAGGCCGTGGGCTTGTTCACATTTGAGAGACTACACTGGACAACTCCTCCAAATTTCTTGAGTAACCCTGGAATCTTCTGCCCAATGCAGTCATCCTTTCTTTGGGCTTTATTTCATTGTTTTTGTAGGTGTCTGGTTTAGAAATTCTTTGTTCCTCGTGTCTTATCAGCTAAATCCCCTTGTTAGGGCCTTGAAGCATAGGTGGCAGACTTGGACTTCAACTGGGTCCTGCTGTGTTTCAGACCCCACCCCACACCCCACCTGACCCCAGCCCTTTTGGCCTAACTGGAACTAAAAGACAGGAAATTTGTGCCTAACTTTGATGGTTCCACATTCATCATTGTCTATTGCTCCAAGTCACTTTTCAGATAACAAGGCCACTGTTCTGTCTTCCAAAAGCGATTTTTTAAAATAATTTTATTTTTAAGGTGTGTGTGTGTGTGTGTGTGTGTGTGTGTGTGTGTGTGTGTGTGTTATTATACATTCTGGCAGTGACCAAAAGAGGGCATCAGATCCTCTGGTGCTTCAAGTGGTTGTGAGTTGCCTGACATGGTACAAGGAACTGAACTCAGACCCTGTGCAAGAGCAGCGCAGGCTCTTAGCCACTGAGCCACTGCTCTGACTCCAAACTGGATTTTCTTGAAAGGTTTCCAAATGGCTAATTAAAAAGAAGTGGGGATAAGCCGGGTGTTGATGGTGCACACCTTTAGTCCCAGCTCTTGGGAGGCAGAGGCAGGTGGATCTCTTTGAGTTTGAGACCAGCCTGGTCTACATAGCGAGTTCCAGGACAGCCTTCAAAGCCACAAAGAAACTCTGTCTTGAAAAAAAAAAAAGTGAGGCTAAATAGATACAGCTAAGATGCATGCTATCAACCCTGATCACCTGAGTTTGGTCTGTGAGATCTGTGTGGTAGAAGGCACAGATCCAGGCACATGGAATATCTTGTATGAGAGCCCAGTATGATGATCAAGTTGATGGCCAGCTGGTGTGACTGCAAAGAACAGTGTGTTGGTAGTCCCTGCTTGACTTGCTCAGCCCAAACTGGATGACTTTTTGGATGCCATGAAAGCAAGACACACTCAGTAGAAAGCACCTTGAGTTTTGCATTAGCTAGCTGTCTGTGGTACTGGGCTCTGAGGGTGGAGAACAGCATCTAGCTACATCTTCTAGTCAATTGCGTCATCATGAAGGAAACCACTGAGATGGTTCAGTGTGCTTTGCATGAGCCAGGATGTGTAGTAGGCCCGGCATGTTAAGTGAACTGAAGGGGTTTATCTACATTTAACCCCTTTATAAGCTGAGGAACTGCTGATGTGTGAAGACTTTCAGATAAGCATCAGAGAAGTGTTGACTCTGCTACCAAGGTTTACTCTGTGAGTAGGGAACTTTATCCCGAAAATGGGTTTCTTTGCTATCATT